GGAGGTCTTTTCCAACCCAATCGATTCTATGATTCTATGATTCTATGCAGAGGCAGGCTGTGTGCTGGCATAAGCATGTAATCGATAAGTAAATTGTGTGGTGATAAGTGATGTTGGTGTGCTAGGTTTTACTTCTGTCCAAGTAAACTGGGAATAGGAGAAGGAAAGGTTAAGAAGTAAAGACCATGTTGCATATTGAGTCCATGTCTATAAAGAGTTTTGATATAGCAGAAATGGTGAAGCCCTGTAGGGAGTGTTGGCTGTTGCGTGATGAAGGGTATAAATTTTGGAATAAAGCCAAAGCTGACCTGAAAGTTTTGCTCATACGCCCTGAAAGCTCTTGGTTACAAGTATGATCTGTTGCTTTCATTTTGCTTTCTACCTCTCTGTTATTGCGTTAGTTAAGTTATGATAGAGAGGACACATGTATTGCTAGTTGAAATGTTAACTTTCAGGCTGTGAGCGGGAGTAAGGGTAAGCAAAAACAAGTAGACAAAAGTTGTATTTGGCTGCTTTCTTTATGTTTTGAATTCTTTCTGCAGCTCATATTTGCATATTATGTAATGTGTAATTTGGGAGGTTGTTCTGTCTGAATGTTTCTCTGATTTTCAGATTGATTATTTTTAAAAGTAAAATTCAGATCTTTTCTTAACATCTCTTTCTGAAGTTTTGTCATTACTGTTTTAAGGCTTTAATGAGCACCATGTTTTTGGGACTGTTTTCTGTGTGGGTATAAGCTCTGTGGACAATTAAGTTGTGTAGGTTAACACTACCTTGGAGTAACTTTGCCCAAGGTATCAAGTAATTTTTTATTAATGCCGGTTGTTTATAGTGACTGCATGACTGCCTTCTGGTGTAATAGTGGATGTTTAGTCATTTGGAGTAAAGAAATCGATTAAAAAAGTCAAACTCAGGACCTTAAAATGAATTTTAGCATATTTTTGTGTGTATGTGAGCATCTCTTATTGCCCTCTGGATATACATGTGAAATGCAGCAGAAAACTGAAAATTTTGATGAGTCTGATTTGAATTGGATTCTAGTAACAGCAAATCTGAGTTAGAAACACAAGTTACATTAAATTGGTTTATAGCGATGTGTCAGAACTGTCAAATGGTATTTTCCCAAATTTTCCTGGTTTGTATGAGGCAGAAGGGCAACATTCAAATACAGTGAGCTGAGAAAAGTTTTCTTTGTTCATTCCCAGAATGAGCTGGCAGTACTCTAGGAGAATAGGAAAAAGCAATGGACAGCGCAGTGGAAAAATGTCATTTCAGGAGTTTGTACATGGAAAATTGAAGTAAGCAGGACATATTTTTGGAAGACTATGCAAAAGTAGAAAAGATTCATTTGGAGCCAGTTGTGCAACAAAAAAAAAATCTTAAAAGAAAAAAGAAGTTAGAAGCAGCAATGCTTGAACTTTGGCTAATTCTGCAGCAAGATGTGTATTGCAGTTCCTGCTTTCCTCATCACAGTCATCAAGACTTGGAGCAGCAAGAATTCAAATAACCAAAATGCTTTTGCTAGTCCTTTGAGCAGCAGAGAGGATTGGAAATTTCATTTGAATCATAAGAATTCTGAAAGAAAACAGAGTTGCCTAAATGGGTATAGGTACCTCTAAGGTTGGAGTGCTTGTCCCAAGATGAAAGGTGAATTCTGTAGTAGATTACCAGGCAGTGCAGTCATAGCACATGCTTGATATAGGAGAGAAGAAAGCTTTAGGGGGCTTAGGGATGTGGATATTTTTCCCCACTTCTAGGGGTAAAAGAATCTCCATAAAAAGATGGACTGCCTTGTGATGCTCACTTCTTTTCCAGTAAAC